GCACATCAGGGACTGGCAAGGAACCATCTCTCTCCTAGGGAAGAGAGTGAGTGCTCTTACCAGAGGAATCCTGTTTGCCCACCTTAGACCGTCCCTTGGCTTTAGACTCAAGTGGAGTAATGATACTTTTTTTTCATGGAGCACCAGTGATTTGACAGATACGTTAATCTTCTTAATTATAGCTAGTATCTGTTGAGGGAGCTGGGGCGGGGGAGTGGCTAGTGGCAAGAAGCTGAACTACAATCCCAAAGGCACGTGACTCGAGGCTTACCAGCTTCTCCAGAAAGAAGGATGGGCAGTCTCCTCCTGTGTGATTAATGGCCTCTGAAAACCCACTGGAGGGTGAGCTGTGAGTTGGTTCTGACACTGTGGTGCACAACAACAAGTGTCTATTGATCGCATTGACTGAAAGCCCTTGACTTTCATTATTTTTTATTATTATTATTAAATTTTATTAGTTTTAATGAACATTTACAGATATTTTGGGTTTTGACTTTTATTCTTAAATTTTCATGTTCTCCTCACCGCAAACTCACGAGGGAGTTACTGTTATCCCCATTTTACAGGTGAGGAAAATAGAAAGCAAAACCCACTGCCTGGTCCACACTGTGCCTGAACTAGAATTTGAGCTGAACTTTTTACCCTCCTTGTGGTCTCCAGAGTATGACTTCTTGTCAGGCTGGGCCCTGTTAGAAATTTTGCCAGAAGACCGGGCTATTTGTCATCATCTACTCAGAAATGTCCCTGGGGAGTTTGACTCCCCCCTCCCTGGCTCCTGTTCTTGCTGGCGATTGATTCTCAGGTGTTCAGAGAGCCCCAGCCCCGGGCCACGTCTGAAGTTAGCCCCACATTTGGACACCAGGAGAACGGTATGCATTCCCAAATGAAATGATAGACACCGGCTGCTCTAAATGGCAGGTGAGCTGCACTTTAAATAGACACATTAATTCTGGTAGCGGAAGCGGAGCCCTACTGAGGTAATTCTTATCATAGTCAGCATCGCTCTGACAAGCTTTGGAGCGATTCTGTAGCAGTAAGCAATTTGGGAAATTGAAAGGTGAAAACACAAACACTCAGGAAAGGGTTTCATTTACATTCAAGGTCAGAGGGAGGTGACTGCATCTTTCCGCAGTGAGAGGCTGCAGGGAGAGTCACTTGATTGGCAAGGTGATGGGTACACAGATATCCTCTGCTTTTGCCAAGTTCACTTGACAGCACTTTGCTTTCTATGGGAAACCTCCATTAGTAGCAGTGTTTGCTAACAGAAAGTAATAAAAAAAGGATTTAAATTTCACCAAGAAAAGGGGGGGGGAGGCCAAAAGCCACTTAGTGTACAGTGTTTGTTTTGCAGTGAGCCGTTAGAGGCAGCATGCATCCATACAGCGGGAGTGGCGTCATCAAGCTCCTTTCTGGGACCGAGCATCTCAACATCAAGCCTCCACACCTTTGAACTGTGAATATGAGCACTATACATTGGTATTACTTTAGGGGCTTATGTGTCTTGGAGAAAGTGCAGCCAGGGTGCTCCTTAGAGGCAAGAATGTTGAAGCTTTACCGTACGTACTTCTTGTTGTTAGGTGCCTTTGAATTGAGTACGACTCATAGTGACCCTCTGAACCCTGCCCAGTCCTGTGCCAGCCTCAGCATCTCTTGACATATTTGAGCCCGCTGCTCCTGCTGTCACTGTGTCAGTCCATCTTGTTGAGGGTCGTCTTCTCTCTTGCTGACCCTCCACCTTTCTAAACATCGTGTCCCTTTCCAAGGAATAGCCTCTCCTAACAACATGTCCAAAGTATGTGAGACGAAGGTTCACCATCTTTGTCTCAAAGGGGCATTGTGGCTGCAATTTTCCCAAGACATACCTGTTTTATTCTCAGTCCATCGGATATTCAGTACTCTTCTCCAATACCACAGCTCAAAAGGCATTGATTCTTCTGTCATCCTTATTCATTGTGCAGCTCTCAGATGCATAGCAATTGATTGACAAGACCATTTCCTGAATCAGGCACACCTTAGTCTTCAAACAAGTATCATTGCTCCTTACTACAATTTTTCCCCCATATAAATTAATGTTGCTGTGAAGCTAAACACTGTGACACTGATGTGTCAAATGTGATAATGGTTACCCATGGTGGACAGTGTTTGGTGGAGTTCCCCGATTTAAAACAAGCTTGGAAACAGGAGTGGCATCCACTTCAGTAAATAGCTTGACTCTGGAAACTCTATGAGCTTGGAGAAAAGATGAAAGTCACGCAAGTGTTGAGGACTTTTGTTCACAGGGTCGCTATGAGCCACCTACGACTCGACAGCACTTAACAACAACAACATATAAATTAATGGTAATTGTTTCTTCTGTTTATACCATTTTGATTTACAGAAGGTTTTATACAAATGTTTACTTCTGGATAGTGAGATATGTCCCATTCCTCAGAGGAGTCCATGATTCCAATTTAGCACCTGGATCCGAACACATGTCTGACTGAAAAGACTTTCTCTTTTCTATCTTGTGAGAGTAATGAGCATGTGCCATTATCATAAATTTTGAAGGTAGAGACCCTCTGGGACTGCAGTAGAATAAATTTGCATTATTTTAAGCTGTCAATTTTGTGATAATTTGTCGTAGCAGCTGTAGAAAACCAATACATCCTATTGTGTATAAATATGTATGTAATTTGCAAAGCAGTGTGATTTAGTGATTGGTGATAGACAGCTTTAGGGTCTCCTTCCGCTTCAATGCTTATTACTGTGTCTTTTTGATACATTAATGCACTCATCCAGCCTCAGTCCTGTCTTTCTATGGGAGTGGAGTCGGTTGTTATGACTGAGGGTGTGTGTACAGGGTTCTTGGAGTGGCTGTCGTGTAGTTAAGGCTCAGTAAATACTCGTTACTGTTGCTGTTATTCATAACTGTATGGAATTGTGTTAACAAGCCAATGTCTAAGTGAAGAAAGTTGATTACAAACTAGTGAGATATTACAGTTCCAGCTAGGTGAACAAATCAGTATGTGTGGGTATCAGAAAGGCAGCCTGTGAAGAGATAGGAGAAATGGCAAGAGTGACTATGTTACGGGTAAAGAGAACCTTCTAAGACTTTCCCTCAAAAACCTACGTCTATTCTTATCCGCAGACCTAGAAATTCAGCGTACGAAAGTCTCTTATAAAGAACTAGAAATGAGGACAATTTTTATTTGATCGTTGAGGAACGATCATTGCAATGTGAGGAAATTGATCTTATGTCACATTCCCAACAGTATAAAAATAACCTATGTTAGGCTGGGAAGATATTAAAAAGAATGTTTTCGAAGACCTTTGATACAGGAAAAGAAAAAGATGTTCATAACCAAGACCAGAAGAGCAGCCAGGATGTACACTACTTTTTACACACACACACACACACACACACACACACACACACTCTCTCTCTCTCTCTCTCTCTCTCTCTCACTCTCACTCACTCTCTCTATCACACACACATAGATATACATATGTTGTATAATGACTGTTATAACTAATCACCCCAAAACTGATGACTTCAGTTATGCACATTTTCCCCCTGCTGTTAGGGACCTCTCTAAAGTACTCAAGAGCAACGGTCTCTCTCTGGAGACTAAGGTCTGCCTGATACAGGCCGTGGTTTTTGCAATCACTTGTTATGCATCAGAGAGTTGGACAGTGACTAGGGAGGATAGAAGGAGAATTGACGCCTTTGAGCTGTGGTGCTGGAGAAGAGTATTGAATGTACCATGGACTACCAAGAAAATAAACAGATTCATCCTAGAGAGGGTTAAACCAGGCTGCTCCTTGGAGGCAAGGATTCTGGGGCTTCGTCTGACATACTTTGGACATGTTGTAAGGAGAGACAGGTCCTTGGAGAGGGACATCATGCTTGGTAGGGTAGAGGGACAGCGCAGGAGGGGAAGACCCTCTATGAGGTGGATTGATTCAGTGACTGGAGTAATCGGGATGGGTGTGTCAGAGGCAATGCGATTGGCACAGGACAGAGCAGAGTTTAGGGCTGTTGTACATAGGGTTGCTATGAGTTGAAAATGACTCGATGGCACATAACAACAACAAACAACAATACTTCTGGAGGTCCAGATCCCCATATCAGTTTCACTGGGCAGAAGTTAAGGTGCTGAATGGCTGGTTCCTTCTACACACTGCAGGACAGGCTCCGTTTCTTGCGTTCTTCAGTTTCTGGTGGCTGCTGGCAGTCCTTGGCTTGTGGCCACATCACTCTTGTCTATGCTTCTCTATTCACATTGCTGTATCTTCTCTGCCAGATTCTTCTCTGTTTTTCTCTTGTAAAGACACTTTTGATGATGTTGGATCCACAAGGATAAACTGGAATCATTACCTTGGGGCATAGTCTGTAAGGGGTTGTACGGCTAAACCAGAGCCCTAACTTCTCTGGAGGTTCAAGTCCAACAGAAGCGCAACTGGGGAAAGATAGACATTGTCCTCTTGTGTGATTTACAGCTTCAGAAACCCAGTGGAGGGCCACCTGGTGGAGGTCACCCAGTGGAGGGCCACTCGGTGGAGGTCACCCAGTGGAGGGCCACCCAGTGAGGGCAACCCAGTGGAGGGTCACCTATGCATTGATTCTGATTTGACAGCAATAAGTTTCTGAATTAGTTCTTCATTTCAAGATCTTTATCAAACCCGCATAGTGGCTTTTGTCATATAAATCATCACTCAGATTCCAGGGAGGAGGATGTGGGCATCATTGGGGACTGTTACTCAGGTCAGCATACCACAGATTTGGATTTTAGATTTTTTTAAAAAAACCATAACAACAACTACTTCAGGGGGAAAAAGACTAGAAGAAAATACTTAAGTATTAACAACAGCCGTATTGTTTGAGGTTATTTTTTGGCTTTAGGGTATCTTGTTCTGTACCTTCCACCTCTTCAGAGCTAGGCAGGTAACTCAGCTCTTCAGCATGCCTAGAGCATGCTGAGTGGCCTGGCTGACTCATGCCTGTCCCCTTCTCTCCCCAGAGCCCGTGTTCTGGTACTACGTGAAGGAGGTCCTGAACAAGCACGAGCTGCAGCGCTTCTACTCCCTGCGTCACATCGCGTCTGATGTGGGCCGTGGACGCGCCTGGCTGCGCTGTGCCCTCAACGAGCACTCCTTGGAGCGTTACCTGCACATGCTCCTGTCTGACCACAGCAGGCTCAGGTACCTGGGACGACTGGGGCCAGGGAGGTGG